ACGGTAAAAAAGAAAGATGGCCTACAAAATTATTAGCAGGACTCAGTCCACAGAATCAGGTTTTTAAAAAAGAAAGAAATATCTCTCAAAAAAAAGGACATAGATTTGCATAAAATATGTATCTGTTAATTTTATAAAGCAATTTGAATTTGGTAAGTACTACCGTTTACATAGTAAAGCAATATAAAGAGAAACCTGTAATTAAGAGTACTTATATGCTTTTCAGTTTCTAGTTAGGTTAGTGAGTATCACTATACAACTTTAAAATTTGAACTCCCCCTTATTGAAGTTATTTATCTTAAAGTACTCTTGAACTGGATAGTTCTTGAAATTAATTAACATTTCTCTTTTTGATGAAAAAGGATTGTCTGAAAAAATTATTTCAAAGTTGACAATTTTGACAAAATTCAGTTGAGTATTCTTATACTTAATTGTACAATTACCAAAGACAGGTGTGTAGGTACAGTATGTATGTATATGAATGGACTGTAGAATTATCTTTCCAGTTGAAATGCTAAAATCCCAAAGAAGACATCATTAGGGAACTTCATCTATTGTATTTTTTAAGGAGTGCTACTGTCATTATTTGTAAAAGAAACTCTGCTTTTAAGAAATTGTTAGAAAATTTTCTGTATCAAAGAAATCGGCAACCCTATTTCTTTCCCCATTAATTGAGCAAATTCCAAATATTTAGTTATGTCATCACTACACAGAAGACATTATAGAGGACTATGCTTTGGCAGTATTTCAAATATAAAATTAAATAGAAAAATATCCTCTATTAAATAATACAAACATTCATCCTAAGATAGTTGTTAGCCTTATGAGTGTTGACTAGGGATTAGACAACTGGCTCAGCTACCATGAGAAAAATACCATAACTTTAAAATTTGTTTTGTTTTGTAATTTATGGAACTTTTGACAGATTTTTTTTTCTTCCTCAATCTTTTCCTTTTTCAGCTTCAACATGATGCAAGAAATATGAAATTGTTACAGAATTATTACAGAAAAATGCAGTTATAGTTAAGAACAGTAAATAAGGATAAATGCCTAGAGAACCCCAATAACTAAAAGATATGGTATTCTTCTAGTTAATCGAAGTTTAAATGGCCTTTCTAATTCTTATAATTTATTAAATGTATATGGCATCCAATTCCCAGTGGTTCTAGGCAGTTTACAAATGATTTAAAGCATGAAAAAGATGACAATAAAAACAAGAAGATACAATCTGGCAGAATAAGAAACTAGATGAAAGCAAAATAAAATAAATTAAAAGGAGACTTCAGTCATCCCCATCATCACTGGGATGACTTTATTTTATACTCTGTTGTATGTGTTGAATAAGATAAAGTTGCTAAGTTCACAGATTTGTTAAAGAAACTGAGGATTCACAGAGCACAATAAGTTTGGTTTTAACTACTGTATATTATTTGAGTTTACTGTGCTGCGTGAACTCAGTCTAGTTATGTTATTGTAATTTTATTATTTCATTAAATAGGTTTCTTATTGATTTCCTATTTTTAGATCTTGTTTTGATTTATTGTGCAAAACCCTGAGGCATTTTAGCAGAAAGACAGGGCAGTAATAATAAGAACACAAATAGATTTGGAGTAGGTCATGATATAAATACAGCTTTTAATACAAACCAGTCTTTCATACTGTTTTGCTTTGTTCTTAGCACTCATTAATCACAATCTTGGACTGTATTAATAAAGGAGTGTGTGACCTTTTACTTAAGTTCTTCATTAGACATTTTAATAAGTGAGATGTTTCAAGGTAATTGCTCTTAGGTCTCCAACAATCATCCCAGGCTATGTAGACACTTTACTCACGGAGTCTGTGTAGCTAAATTGGTTCTTATGAATGTTTGCTAGCACATAGTGACTGAAAGTTAATTCATCTTGTGAAAGTTGGAAAGTTTATGGGAGTTTTATTTGGAACACTTGGAAAGCACCAGACTGCATAACCTTAACATGGTAGGTATGCTTCAAGCTTTAGCTGATTATAATTTTTCAAGGAAGTAAAGCAGAGACGTGATAGACATGTGAGATCTCAACTATTTTGTGCTGGGGTTAGACCACCATATCATGTGGTCTAAATACATATTGATTTTATCTTCCACCATCTGGAGAGTCTCTTTCCTTGGCTTCCCTTCTGGGTTTAGTTATGAAATATTACAGATCCTGATGTTTAACTTCCTCCTAAGCACTTCCAAACATGACATTATCAAACAGGATGTTTATACAAGAGAAAAATTAATTACTAAAGGGGGAGGAAGAGGAGAAAATGGACTCCAATTTGAATTAGACAATACAATACAATAGCAGAGTTGGAAGGGACCCTGGAGGTCTTCGAGTCCAACCCCCTACCTAGGAAGGAAACCCTATACCATTCCAGACAAATGGCTATCCAACATCTTCTTAAAGACTTCCAGTGTTGGAGCATTCACAACTTCTGGAGGCAA